CTTTTTCTCATTCAACTTTACCAATAACTCCAGGTAATTAAAGAATTTTACAAAGAACAGCTTGTAATTTTGGTCCTTTGGCAAATGATGACAAAGTCTCATAACAACATCAGCTCAATGATACAAATTCTCAAAACAGCATCAGCTCCATGATATCCTAGCTTCTCAACAGGCACATGATCTGGATTTTGAGCCCCATCCAGGTCAAGATCATAGCAGATCTCATTTCTGGAAAAGATTTAATAGATCATATTGTGGCTGTGCATGAAATTCGAACTATTAATTAAGAAGGTTGTAAATGAACGATCTCACCAAGCTGTGTTTACAGTGCCTTAGGCCATCGACTCACAGAGAACAAATCAGCTTGGTTTTTCTATTACGTCTTTTCTCCAGCGAAATGAAAACTAACTCTTTACAAAACTAGGTGTATAGACATAAAACAAGTGGAGGCGACAAGGGTGTTGTAGACAATGGAAGGTGTGAATGGCAAGATTACAATGGGAAACATGAATACGTTTAACAATGGTCGCTACATAGCTCCCCCCCTCCTAGAATGCAAGCGAAGAGAAGCATTCAATAACAAAATTGAATTAATATTGTTAAAGTGTCAAGTTGAATGGTGTCTGGGGTCGAGGCCAAGATCAGCTGAATGTTTTGTGGTGAACGTTGGAGAAAAAGTCCTATTAAAATGCCATTTTCCAAGTTGGTATCACCAAGGAGTTGATGCATCTGTCACAGCAGTTGGGAAGGTTTTCTATTGCCAAGTTCTTCAGATATGAGCAGTTGGTCGAACCACTTTTGTTCGGAAGCCGAAGTTCGTTTTATCAGTTCAGACTTCAAAACATCATTAGGATTTCTAGGGGGAGGTGAAATGAGAATGTCCCTTATTTGCTGTGCGATAAGGTTGGAGTGAAGATATCAAGTAAGGGAATTTCGTTGACTGAGGTTTTGTTGCGAGTCAGAAATTGTGCTTCAACTTGCGCAAACCAGACAATTGGGTCGTTAGGCAAGTGGGGAGGAAGTTTCAAGGTAACTGCTTGGACAGTAGGCGATGTAGCGGACGCAGTTGATGTTGACGTGGCTGCAGCGGCAGTTGATGGAGGATCGTTGCTCATTGTGATGTTGAAATGGCAATGAAAATGGCGTGGAATGGATGGGCAAGATACCACCAAATATGAACAAGTAAGAATCCAAGAATAAACGGGGATAAAAGAGAAATAAATGGGAAAAACAATGTCGTGGTTACCAATTTAATAGATCGTAGTGTGGCTGTGCATGAAGTTTGAACCATTAATAAAGAGGGCTGTGAATGAACGAAATCAAGTTTGTTTGGCTCAATCAGGTCGAAATTTTTCGCTATCGACAAATGCACCTTTTTACATTGCTATATCCACTTACAGCGATCTTTGTGTGTAGCCCTCTTTTGCACTTCTTGAAATTAAAAAATTGTATAAGTTTTACGGGCATAAGATCACGTAAATATTTTATATAGGTTTATCAAATGGTGTTTGACAGTTTACCCCCTGGTTTATGTACAATGTCACATGATTTTAGCATGCCTCTGACTGAGTCAACAACACATGGTGGCGTGATCGAAAATTTGTTGTAGTTTTTTAAAGTTATGCATAAGAAGGTAGTTATGATTTCTTCTAGATGAAAGGTTCAAAATGAGAATGGTTGTTTTCTTTGCTTCGATAATTTAATGCTACCGAATGGCTTCAGTGAGAAGGGCTTGTAGGAATAAGCCTGGTGGCTTTTGCTACATTTGTGGTGAATACACCCTTGCTCCCAACAGAAACTCTGTCACAAATTTCATAAAACGGGCTTATTATGCTTATTTTGGAATGAAATTTGGCGATCAGGATAAGGCTTGGGCGCCTCACATGGTGTGCAAAAGCTGTACGGAGCATCTGCGTCAGTGGACCAAAGGAACACGGAGTTCTTTGAGCTTTGGAATTCCCATGGTTTGGAGGGAACCGTCGAACCATGCAACTGACTGTTACTTTTGTGCCATTGATGCAACTGGCATCAACAGGAAAAACTGGAGCAGCCTTCGGTATCCCAACCTTGAATCAGCACGTCGCCCTGTACCCCACTGCGATGAGATTCCAGTTGCTGTCTTTAAGGACCTTCCTGAGACTATAGACAAAGAATTTTCCAGTGATGAAGAATACGAAGAAGAAGAATTCGCACCTGATGATAAGGTCCCCGATCCTTTTTCTCAAAATGAACTTAATGATTTAGTTCGTGATCTCAGCTTGTCAAAGTCCTCAGCTGAACTGTTGGCATCCAGACTGAAGGACAAAAATCTCCTCACTGACACTACTCACATCACATTCTACCGCAGGAGACATCTAGAATACCTCCCTTTCTTCTCTGAAGAGAAGGACTTGGTGTATTGCACTGACATAACACGACTCCTGCACAAACTAGGGGTCGCACAATACGAGCCAAAAAAGTGGAGACTGTTCATTGACAGTAGCAAGCGATCGCTAAAATGTGTTTTGTTGCATAATGGTAAACATTTGTTTTAGAGAAAATACGTTATGATCAGCATGAGTGGTTGATCTGTGTTGACCTGAAAATGGTATACATTTTGTTGGGACAACAATCTGGGTTTACAAAGTATCCATGTTTTCTGTGTATGTGGGACATTAGGGACCGAGCACAACATTACATAAAGAGAGAGTGGCCTGTACGGGAGGAATTGGTGCCATGCAGAGCGAGGAACATCATCAACGAGCCACTGGTGAACAGAAACAGGATCCTATTCCCACCTCTGCACATCAAACTTGGCTTGATCAAGCAGTTCACAAAAGCTCTGGACAAGGATGGTTCCTGCTTTCAATACTTGTGCCAAGCTTTTCCAGGTTTGACAATAGAGAAATTGAAAGCTGGGATATTTGAGGGTCCACAAATTCGTCAGCTCATCAGAGATCCTGAATTTGAAAATTCAATGAGCAAAATGGAGCATGAGGCGTGGAAAACGTTTGTTCATGTTGTGAAGAACTTTCTTGGCAATAATAAGGCCAGAAACAAAGAGCTTGTCAATAAAATGCTCATTGCTTATAAAAACCTTGGATGCAACATGAGCATCAAAATGCACTACCTGTTCTCGCATTTGGATTGGTTTCCTGAGAATCTTGGATCAATGAGTGACGAGCAGGGGAAAGATTCCATCAGGATATGAAAGAGATGGAGACCAGGTATCAAGGACGCTGGGATGCAGTTATGATGGCTGATTACTGCTGGACTCTGAAGAGAGACATCCCTGCTGCTGATCATTCCATAACATCAAAGAAGCGCAAGTTCAAATCCTGAATTTTGAACAATTATAACTTAACAGAGTTGTTCTTGCATAAATCAAAATACATACTGATCAAGTTTTGGATCATTCATTTCATAAAATCTGCTAGAAATGAATACTTGCTGTCTAAATCTGATTTTGGATCAGAAGACCTAGAATAAATGAACCTTTATAAAAAAGGAACTTTAGTGGAAAAATCAATATTTTCCAATCAAGTTAGCACATAAACCTGACCTGATACAGAAAAACGAAATCATTTTTGGATTCAGCGATGCAAAAATGTTCTAAATCAGATGAAAAATCCTAGACACTTTGAAAATTTTTTTTTTTTGTAACTCAGTGTAATTGTTGGTGTATCTCCATCTATATGATCTTTCCTTCTTTTTTGCCTTTAAAGGTTTCAGTATTATTGCCTTTACCTCCTTGTATAAACTCAGTTTTAGAATTGTCACTGTTTTCCTCATCACCATCTTGAACCTCACTTTCCCCAAAATCCATCTCTGAATCATATGTATCACGAGATGACAGTACAACAACTGAACAACATATTACGTCATTTATCATTGATCCTAAGGAATCTCCAAAGCAAATAAAGGGCAAATGCTCTGCTTGGCCATATGGCCTTTCCAGGCCTGAAAGGGTTCATATCTATTTTCTCAAAAAAAAAATAGAAATATATTCGCACAATATACGAGGCTGGAATCAAAATTAATCTGCTTTGCACTTTTAGAGAACTTGCTTTTGCCCTATTGTTGCCTTAATATTTCCTCTCCTGTTCCTTGGTGTCGTGGAGAAACAATGGAAAGCGCATTCTAGATCTCCTATTGTCAAAAATTTTAATTCGTTTTTGAGAGCCAGGACAAAGTCCAATGAAGATGTAAGCATTTTGATGCCGGAAGTAAAGGAGATTGATCCGAGAAAGCATTGGCTACAAGAATTCTTTGCTATAGTCATCCATTGAACCAACAAAGAAGCCTGGGAATCAGCGAAAAAAAACCTAGAGTTCAAATCTGAGGAGTTCCTTATAGAAAAATTTTGAAAGATAATAGAGTGTTTATGATTCTGGACACACCACATGAAGACACGCCTAAGGAGTCTAGAAACTGCGTGACGAGCCCATGCGTGACGAGCCCCTTGGCTGCAAGAGCATCTTCATCGTTAATCGTACAGTTTCATCTAAGGGAAGTCTGCAGTAAGTGCTGTATTGTTTTGTTGTTGTATGGATGCTAATATTCACCCCCCTCAAAAAAGGCCTCCCTCGAATAAGCCCCCACCCTAGAACTACAAATTGTCAATAAGCCCCCCCCCCCTCAAATAAGCCTCCACTACTACCGTAAATTCTCAAATTTGACCTCTCAATTTGATGATTTTTGCCATTGGAGTTTTATTGAATTACAGCAACAAAATCATACTTTTGGTAGTAATTAATTAAATGCTTATAGAGAAATTTCCACTGAAATAAACAATGTCTTTTAATAATGCCTTCTTAATGTCAACAATGATTCTTAAGCCCTCCTCTCGCATAAGCCCCCCCCTCGTATAAGCCCCCCTCGTATAACCCCCCTCATATAACCCCCCTCGTATAACCCCTCTCGTATAACCCCCCCTTGTATAAGCCCCCCCCTCGTATAAGCCCCCCCCTTGTATGAGCCCCCCCCCCTCGAATAAGCCCCTAAACAAAAATATCAAAAATAAATAAGCCGCCAGGGGGCTAATTCAAGGATTTACGGTATGGTAACCCCCGGTGGTTTGGTATAATAGTTTTGTTAGATTCTTCCTGGTTGTGTTTGGAGTATGATGCTCAAAAAGTTGGTCTCCATATTGGATATTAATCTGAAAGGCACAACACAACAGTAAGAACCCATTAAATTCTATTCCAAAGACTAAAATAAGCTCAAGGTTTCTTGATTGATTTTTGATCTTTCATTCTGATAGGATTTCCCTTGAATGTTCATTTTCTTGGGGCTACTGTAAAAAAGCCAAGGAGCACCGGTCCTGACCGTGAAGAAGCCAGAGAAGACCTGTTCGTTCTTCCATTAGAGCAGGGTCCAAGCGAGATTGGAATTAACGTAGCAGAACTGCCCTCTGATGAAATGCTTTTGGAAATCTCAACTAATGAATTTTTGACATCAATACAAGTTTTAGCTGCCTCAAGTGTCCCGTACTGTCTAGAAAACTTGTAGCATGTCAGAAGAGGAACAGTAGATTTAAGAAGGAGTTTGATGCGTTTAAGGAGAGGAAAGAGGAATTGCGAAACAAGCAGGTATATGTAAACAATTCTTGCCTTTGTTTGCTAAAATCTTGACCAGATGATATTGAAGGGCTGCCAATTTTCTTAATACTCACACTTTTTAGCTGAGCCAAACCAAGTACCAAGGCTTATAAGCTAGATTGCAGAGTATTGCAAGTGCACACCCGAGATAATTTTTTAAAATGTCTTTGCACACCTTGTAAAGGGGTGAAATTTGAAACCTGGGCGTGACATGAGTGTAACCCATGGACTAGGGCAAATGAAGATTCAAAGTCTCATTAAAATCAACATAATCTTGCATTGATTCGATAACAAAATAACCATCAATCATGTACATTGCTGATATTCCCTTCTTAATGAATATTCTCGGAATCTAACATAATTGGGTGTACTATTGTGCACAATAACACTTGCACACTTAAATTTTGCTCTTGCACACCAAAGATCTCGTTTGAAACTGCCATACACTGTAGTCCTGCTTTTAGAGAATTTCTTTGTTGATACACAAATTATCCTACAAGGCTCTACATGGCTGTGATAAAAATTTAAAATAAAACTACATATGAGATACAAATATACCTACTTGAGATGGCAAAATACTTTCAGATGGAACAATAAAAATGGTCTGTTTGAAAATTATATTCCTGATGCTTGTATCATTATTGTTTTACTGCGGGGCTTCTAAATGCTGGGATTCATTTCCAGTTTTAGTGGAGATGAAGATGTAATGGAGATGAAGATATAATGGTAGTGGAGATGGATATGGTAGTGGAGATGAAGATGTAATGTACGATGTTTTGGAGTATAGTGCAAATTTAGATTCCAGTGGCAGTGATGTTGATAATGATGAAAAAGAATATTCTGACCCAGAGTCCCCAGAGAAAGTTGGAAAGGCTAACAGGAACAGAAAAGAAAATGCAATCAAGTAAGTATCTTTTTAATTAAAAACCGAGTAGAAATGTATAGTACCAAGGTTTTGATTTGGGAACATTTTGAAACCAAAATTTGCAATGGGTGAGCCCTTTGTTTTTATTTGCTCTGCCAATGCAAAAGTCAGTTTAAATTCCTTAAAAAAATTGAGAACAATGGAAACATGGTGTAAACACATTTGTTTACAGTTTTGTTTTCAAGCCCCTTAACCTTTAGCCCATTTGTTTATAGAATGAAACTTGATGTAGAATTACCTTCCCACCACTGATGTCTAAAATTGTCAAGTACTCCATCATTTTGATACAGTTAACTAATTACAGTCACATTTTTTCTACAGCACTGATGAGAATGTCCCTATCCAAGATGAGCCCAAATTCATTGTATTCCAGTCAATGTTGGTTGGACTTTTCTCTTTGTTCTGTTTTAAATGTGGCGAAACCAGCTCTTGAAAATTACAAAGTACAGGACAATGGTAAAGGTCATTTAAGCCTGTAAGAACTGCAAAGGGCCCTTCCTATGGGGCAGCCAGCCGTTAGTCCTAGGGCAGATTACCACTGGTAATATTTCACTAAGTTTTGCTGCAAGTGCATCTATCAGCAAAGTTCTGCTCATTTTGCGACACATGGGTGTATGCTGCTATACTGCATGAATTTGTTAAAGCATCAGAAAAAGTTTTTGTTCACAACGATTCTGAGTTACTGGGACAATTGCAGAGAAACAATGTTAGCAGCCCTCAGACCAATGAAGAATCCTATCTGGAGTGGAGATGGCAGATTCGATTCCATGGGTTACAATGCAAAATATGGCATATATTCCATGTATTGCACGTCCCACTCCAACTGTAATGTTTTGAATAAATTAACATCTTATGACGTAATGGGACTTAGAGTTAGTTGTAGAGCACGAGGCCATGGAGTCAAACGTATTATATGTGAGCACATGATTAGGCCCTTTTTAACAACATAACATTTGGCGACGAGGATTAAAACAAAAAGCAGATAATGTGGAGGGAAAGCACATGCCATTTCTGTTAAGTTTCAAAATTTAAGCTGGCGACAGCAGCACAATTAGATTTATTACCGCTTCCACCGTTCCACCCTGTGTCCGACACGACGTCCATAAGCCAACGATGGCAACAATGGAAACGCCGTTTCGAAACTTATTTACTTGCCGTGAATATAACTGATGATGCTCAGAAACGTGCCTCACTTTTGTACCAAGCAGGTGCCGCCACTCAAGAAATTTTCGATTCCCTCCCAGTTGAGCAAAATGAAGCTACAGATTACAATACAGCATTGGCGAAACTTGACACTTACTTTGCCCTGCAAAAAAATGTAGACTTTGAAATTTTTCAACTTCGCCAAGCCAAACAGAAGATTGGAGAAACTACTGATCAATTTGCTACACGACTTTGCAAACTTGATACAAACTGTGAATTTACAGATTTAGATAAGGAAATTAAATCTGCGATTATACAAAACTGCTCGTCTAAGCAACTCAGAAGGCTTGCTTTGCGGGAAGAGAAGCTTACACTTGCTGTGTTGTTATCTGGATAGACAAGCTAAAGTTATCTGGAAGTGTTATCTTGTTATCTTGGTAAAGTTATCTTGTTATCTGGAAGCCAGCAATACACAAGCTAAAGATATAGAAGAAAGTCTCATGCAAGTGGAAACTGCTCAGGTGGTTCGTAAGCCTCAGCTGGAAACCTGTTTCAACTGTGGTTTTTCATTGCCTCACCGTACTTCCCCTTGCCCCGCCAAGACTCAAAGTTGATGCAAATGTGGGCGTGTTGGACATTTTGCTGAAGTCTGTAAAAGCCGTGCGAAACAACAGCGTGCCGTTAACGACCGGCCTACGCAAGACCATAAGAAAGGAGGTCATAAATTCGCAAATCAAAAAGGAAAAATACTTCATGTACATGGAAAAGCACCTCAACATACACAAGAGCCTACCCCAGAGTCTAGCCGCGACAAAGGTTATTTGTTTACGTGCGATGATCAACGCGAAATAAAGATGCCGCTAGTCCGTGTAAAAATTAATAACACCCCTGTGAAAATGATTTTGGATACAGGAGCATCGATTGATATTTTGGATAAATCAACATTTCATCAGGTCAAGGCAGCTAATAATATCCATCTTTTTCGTTCAATGACAAAGCTTTTTGCATATGGTTCTGAACAACAGCTTCCAGTTTTAGGAAAATTTCATGCCACGATCGAAACAAAGGACAGAACCGTTTGTCTACATGTGGTTCGAAGCAATTCTGGATCTTTGCTCAGTTACACAACGGCTGCTGACTTAAATTTGATTCAGATTAAGCTAAATCCAGTGAAAACAGGACGATCTACCCCTGCCACTACCGAGAATTTGGAAGCCAAATACCCGGAACTATTTGATGGAATAGGAAAGCCTAAAGACCATGAAATCAAACTGCATATCGATAGCACCGTTTCGCCAGTCGTTCAGCCTGCATGACGTATACCATTTCATTTGCGGAAAAAAGTGTCGCAAACTCTGCCTGATTTGGAAGACCAAGGCATTGAGGGTGCCGTAAATATCAGCGACAATGTTATCATTTATGGTAACACCCAAGCCGATTATGGCCGCACGTTACATGCGGTATGCAAACGATTCCAGGATATGGGGTTGACATTAAACAAGGCAATGTGCGAGTTGAACAAGAAGGAGATCACGTTTTTTGGCTATGTGTTTTCTGACACAGGAATCTCTGCCGACCCCATGCAATTCACAACGCCACGGCCATAGTCAGTCAAGGATATTCGCAGTTTCTTAGGGATGGCAAACTACTCTGCAAAATTTATTTCACAATTCAGTGATATCAGCGAGCCCTTGCAAAATTTAACAAAGAAAAACAGTGTTTTCCGGTGGACCTCTAAGGAACAAAAGTCATTTGATAGCATCAAGTTGGTATTGACTAGTGACAGGGTGATGGCATATTTTGACCAGACAAAACAAACTGAGTTGTTTACGAAAATTTGGTTTCCTAACATCGACAAATTGTCTACCATGCCAAGCCATTGGTCCGGAAAATAGGCCTGCCCCATTACATATGAACAAACGGCCTCTGAAGCGCTGGCATACCGTACACATTGATCACTATGGACCGTTTCCTACCGGAGAATATATTCTCGTAGTCATCAATGCTTACTCTAGATTCCCAGAAGTGGACATTGTGCATTCCACATCAGCCTCTGCGACAATTGCTAAACTAGATCAAATTTTCGCAACACATGGATTGCCCCACGTTGTTAAAAGTGACAATGGCCCACCATTGTGCTGACATCAAGGATTACATGAAAGAAAAGGGCATACATTTTCAACCCATAACACCGTTGTGGCCCCAAGCCAATTCCGAAGCTGAGAACTTTAAGAAACCAATGACTAAAGCCATCAAAACAGCACAAGTGGAGGGGAGAAATTCGAAAGAAGGGCTTTATAGATTCGTTCTAAATTACCGTGCCACTCCAAACACAACGACAAAATATCCTCCAGCACAGCTACTTTTTAATCGCGAAATTCGAATAAAGTTGCAAGACACAGTGGAAAAGAGTCTATCGCCCTTGGACAAAGAAATTCACAAAAACGACACACAGGCAAAGGCAACGATGAAGCAAAATGCGGACTGGAAAAGAGGAGCTAAGGAACTTAAAATGAGTATTGGCAAACTGGTACTAATTCGACAAAAAAAGAGAGACAAGTTAACATCCAAATTCGATCCGAAGCCTTTTCGTATAGTACAAATAAAAGGAACGATGATCACAGCTTGTAGAAATGGACAATACGTAACAAGGAACATTTCATTTTTCAAGCCAATTCAGGAAAGAAAGGATTTGGAATTTTATAATGATGCAGATGATGAAGAATCATTAGAAATACCTGCGACCGGAGAAGGGCAGCAAGAAGAAGCAGACACCCAGAATAATGCCAGATATCGACAAAGAATAAGAAGAAGAGTTTTGGACAAAACATTCACGATACGTAAGCAGAAAGTACTGTGAGTTTAATGCTTTCACTTATTTTATTTGATTTTCAGATGTTTAAAAAAAAAATTTTTTGTTGTCGTGTAGACCTAGTTATCTTACTATTAGAAAGTTTGGACTTGCTAATTTGAACTTTAATTAACTTTATATTTTAGCCCCAGACACTAATCTGAAGAAAGGGAGAGATGTAATGTTTTGAATAAATTAACATATTACTACGTAACGGTACTTAGAGTTAGTTGTAGAGCACGAGGCCATGGAGTCAAACATATTATATGTGAGCACATGATTATGCCCTTTTTAAAAACATAGCACCAACATTGTTCATTTTGAACTTCAGCAGGTTTGTAATTGGTTTTTTGTGTTTAAACACATATCAAGGTGAAAATTTAATCAGATGTTTATATAGCTTCTGTAACAAATTGTGGATAATTCTCAATTTAATTTTTGTTGATATTTCAGTGTTTGTGTCAGACCGCCATACTGGGTTAGCTAAATGGATAGGGACCAGACAAGCACCCAACACTTTTACTGCATTTGGCATGTAGAAATATTGCTCAAGCTGCAAAAGAAAAAGGTTTAGGGAGTTTGCAGCATTCGATCAAGGGAATCAGGTGGCATTTTTACTGGTGTATTTTATCAACACGGCGAGGGGTTGGCATGCTAATATACGCCAAATGGGCATCTATTATGAGACATGTTGCAGACAAGTATGATGGCCATGTCAACCCCCTTTTTCCCAAATGTAAGCATTAGGATTTGAAGCAGATTGGGACGGGGAACCTTGCATTTACCTTCAGGGAAAACACAAATGGTAATGTCCCTTGTTTGATGAACTATTGAAGCAGCAATAAGAGTCATTTTGAATAATGAAATAAATAATTAAAGTAGCAAAGGTAACATTTTAGTTTCGTGCCATCACTATGTTTTCGTATAAGAAACTTGGCAATGTACATTAATCTATGATTAAATTTCAGGGACGCCAGCATACAACAAGCTGGACTCAATTTTAATGAACAAATGGATTGTGTGTGATATCAAGAAAATTTTTCCCGATTTGCAGACAAGATGCTTGGAAGGCTATCATTCATTTCTCAACCATAGGGACCCAAAAATGTTGTGCTTTTCACTTGTGAGAATAAAATGCAGGTTTTTGTCTTTTTCGCAATTTTGTTTGAAACTAGTCCATTAACTAATTCTTTTTGTATTACATAGTGAAATTCGGTATCCCTGAAGGCTCACAGATCATTTGATGATTTTTTGAAAGTCATTAAAATGTTGTGTCCATTCCATTATAGGCCCAGCTCTGTTTTAAAGTAATTTTAAGACATTATTTTTATTGTTATTATAATAGTATGATGTATTAAGTAATCCTTACCAAACACTGTTAACATTGGTTAGTTTTGTGTCTATTTTATTTTTTATTGCTTTCTCAACTTTTTCAAGGACAGTACTTGCAGTTCTTTACTTCAATGAGAATGTTCAACAGGAAAGATGAACAAAAATGACATGAGAAAAATCCCTGCATGTGTCTTACCCAAAATACAAATTTGGCGATGAAGTTGTTCAACAAGAAGCTGTCAACTCAACATACAGTGAGATCTAAATGTTCATTTAATTTGGTGTGAAATAACATTAAATGTTCATTTAAGTTATTTGCTGTACAATTACTATTTTTCCCCAAGAAACTGATTTCTGAGAATCTAGTACTGAGATGTATCTGCTTCATGGTTAAAACTGTTAATTATTACATTTTGTACAGATATAAATTCACTTCCAAATTTTGAATACTTTGAAGTATTTTTTGAATCAAGCTTGAAACTTTACCTCCCTTTTTACAGGCTATGTCAGTGACCTCAGACAGTTGCTATTTTCCATGCCCAAAGACAGAATGAGCTCTGTAATGGAGAGAGAGAGGCAGAACTGTTTCCTGATACCCTTACAAATCAGACCCAGGACAGGGCAACAATACAAGAAGCCATTAATGTATGCGAGACAAGACAGCGAGTGATTACAACCTTATTTCCTTCAGGTCATCTCAATATTTCTCTCTTCCAAATTAAGTTTTTCATTAAAGAATGACTATATTATGAAATAAAGTACCTTGGTATAAGATATGAATCTGAGCACTTCCAGATATATCAATGACTTTGTAATCCTAGGAAACTGTATGTACTTTTCAGGTTTTTTTCATTCTCTAAGCATGTTTTTGTTCCATTTCAATTAGTACACTCCCCTCACAAAAGAATTGCACCACCTTGTTCAAAATTGGCGGCACTTTTTGTCAATATTTTGACAATACAAAACATTTGAATGCATGAATTGGGTGAAATAGGCATATTTTATAACAAATTTCGGCGGGAAAAGTTTGCAAGTTTTGCTGACGCCATAGAATACCTAGTTAGAAATGTAAATATTACGCAAAAATTTGTTGTTTGAAAAAATGTAGACCATTTTGAAATGTAGACCAGGGAGAAAATTTGTCAAATGAGAGGCGAGTCCCTATACAATTCTTACAGGAAAATGGTCTTTAATTTTTGAAAAATTTAGATGCAGCCACACAACAGCTTCAATAAATCAAAAAAGGTTTCTTGAGAGTGTTTCAGTAGTAATAAACCGAGAAGTGGGTGAACAAAAGAAATTGACGTTAGAGGGGGAGCGAATTTGTCTATTTTATTTCACCATGTTTACACCAAGGGACAGTAAAAGACATGAAACTCAACGTTGAGCAATGTTTTGCAGCTCAAAATTCTTCCAAACAAAAAATAACGAGTGCCTTACAAAAATATAAAATAAAAATTTACCTGCATAAAAGGAAACCATTTTTACATCGATTCATTTCCGAACAAGAAGAATTTAAGTTTTTCCGTGGCGTCCATTAAGTCCAGATTTGTACATCATTGAAAATGTTTGGCTTCGTATGAAAAACATTACGAACCATGATTTAAAAGGTTCTTGAAGAGCCAAAAAATCGTTAATTAAAAGAATTCTTCAGATTTGGAATGAAATTCCCCAATAATACATTGCCCAATTATATGCAACCAATTCAAGAAGGCATAAAGCGGTTTCAAAAGTTCACAGTTTGCACAAAAATAGCTTTCGATAATTCTTGCGCCATTTTCCTCCCTGCGAGATGGTGCAATACTTTTGTGAGGGGAGTGTAATTGCTTAAACAAATTGCGGTACACAATATATATCATCATTTCTTATCACTTCAAAGGTGTATGCTTGTGTTCATATGCTATGATTTCCTGTAGCAAAAGTTGGTGATAACAACTTGGTTACATTTTAGTTGATGAGCAGGATATTCTGCCAGTGCAGCAAACAATGCAAGATTCAGCAGAAAGTTTCAGTGCAACGAAAAAGAGAAGACCTTTTGTCAGTCATTGAAGAAAATTTGGACTGCCATGAAAGGGACATACATGTCACAATCCACCTTCAAAATAAAATTTAGTTTATTTTGTTCAATTTGTTCAGCTGCACAATATGGTGAGGCTCTTCTTATGTTTTTGCTTAGTCACTTAAATTTTCTAAATGTGCAACATAGGAGGAATAATGTAGAGACTTTAAGCATCACCAACCCCAACCTCAACCTTAACCTTAGAATCATGAGTTCATAATACGTCCACTCGTTTCACTCGCATCACCAGACATGTGATCACAATAGCAGCATGGGGCAATGAGATATTAGATGGCCGTTGATAAATTCCTAAATTTGACTTTTTATTAATTCGATTAAAGTGCAAATCTCGAGCTGGAAAAAAAACTATTTCAAAAACAGCAAATCAGGAAGGAATGAGAGAGGCTTTGGTTTTTGGTTACAGCACTGGGGTTCTCGATGAAGGGGAGTTTGTAATGTTAGATTATTTGAATGGGCCTAGAAACATTCAGATATCTTATTGGCAATATGCTCCTTTCAACCTAGATTTGCTTTCTGACGATAAATGTTGGGCAGAATTTCGATTTAAGAAAAATCATATCTTTGATTTAGCTAAGATACTGCAACTTCCTGATGAGACCATTACCTACAACAGAATGAAAGAAGATGCTGTGGAGGGTCTTTGTGTTCTGTTGAAAAGGCTTGCATATCTTTGTGAGTATTCGGATTTGGTTTACTCGCTTTGCCAGACCTGTCCCAGAATTATATGTGATCAAAAACCATTTAATGTCATTCATTCATGATGCCTGGGGATTTTTGCTGAACGATTTCCACAGAAACATTTGAAATAACGAAAATTTGATGATGTATGCAAGAGGTATCCATGCGAAGGGAGCCCCTCTTACAAATTGCTGATCAGCGATTGCTGCATCAAAAAGCTCCCTTAACTCATCAAAGCGAACATCCTTTTCTGTGGGCTCAGGACTAATTCCACTTGCACTTTCTTCTCTTCTATTTTGGGACATTTTTTTGCGAAAATATTCTGAAAGCATAACGTATAACAAAATTTAACTCATTGGCATTTCACAGCCTAGAATACCCCATAAAACTTACTCAAATCAGCCAGGGGGATTCTACAATACTGCATTAAAATCCCTAAGATAAAAAGTTTAACAAAAGTTCGAATTTCACTGTATTTTTATAGATTTAATTTTTCATATTTGTAAATAGATGTCTAAATTCGGTTCTATCTGAGAAATATGACATTTAAATGTGTAGGATTTGCTTACGTGGTCATGTTCAAAACATCTGCGTTATCCATTGTTGTTTGCTTAAAATCGGGGAAAATTCTCTCAAAAAGATGCAAAATATGTTCTATAACAGTTAACGTTTGGCAAAACCTTAACTCACTGAAGCTATTGTTCCTGAACAATGTGTGAAAATGCCAACGTTAGGGTCCCTCCCCCCTTTCACTTTGTGTGTTCACATGATATGAATGGGCGTTAATAGCAAAGCAATAGGCTATGAGGCAATAGAGTTAAGGTTAAGGTTAGCATTGGCGATGCTTAAAGTCTCTACTATATACTCAGGCTTAACTTAGAGCCCTATACCAGTAAAAATATGGAACCACAACAAAGATGCCCTCTATCTAAAAAATAAACTTGTTCTGTAGCAGTTGTAAACATTCTTGAAAGGTAAATGTGCATGAAAACTATAAACATAGTCTAGATGACACTGACATCAAGCTCCTGATATTTGTCATTTGATCAACAGCACATTTCTCAGTTTTCGGTTTCCTTTGGTTGTGTGGACTTGTCACTTTATTTGGCTCCAGTTGGGAATTCTTCCTTGATAGATTTATAAATACAAGCTGGAAGAGATCTGGCGTTATCATACCCTAATAAGCTGAAAATCAAACGAATTAGCCATCTATATACAACAGCTCTTAGAAATCTATAAAAAAGGTGGAAATCCATTTACAAAGAGTTTCAATGTGACTTTTAATTACAGTATCATTTCAATGTGACATTTCCTTTATGAAAATTCTAGACAATAAATATTTGCAGTTGTCTAATTAAAGTTGACATTACAATATTTATACTTGTTATAATTGTAGTTATAATGTTTATACATATAACCATAACAGTAAAAGTATGCGTTGGAGTACTATATTATTGGAAATTATAACAAAAGTTCTACTCATTGAATGTGTTTTCATTTTTTCAATCTTCTAGGACCTTTTACTGAGCTCTTCTTTTTTTAAAATATTTACTGTTTCTGGCTCCAAAAATTGAAAACTGATGACATTTAAGTGTAGATTGAGTTTTTTTACATGAAAGTATTTGGCACTTGGCAATGTGTATCAATTACACTTGGGAAATGTTTGTGTTATTAGGGGTTTGAGTAATAGGGGGTTTACTATATTTAAATTAAAGCAAATATAGCGTCTAACCTTTAGTTTTAGTCTAATCGTAGTTTTGTATCAAAAGCTTAGTTTTTAAATAACTTAATAGCTTAATTAAAAAAATTTTAAAACAACAGGACTAAAATTGTTGTAATATTGAATCATGATGGCAATCCAGCAGAGTTTTGAAACTTTGTACTCAGTCACTCTGAAGCACTATTTTAAAAATATCGGAGAACAATGGCCTAGTCTATACGTACATAAAATAAGACTAAAACCCAAACTGCAAGCAAATGAATTAACATATTAATAAGTCGTTTAAAGCTCCTTTTTAATTGCTTTGTGCGTCATTGAACAAAATATATCATAATAGCCTCTCTCAAACAGAATTTCATATCAAAACGTGCACATAACCAATTGGTTCTCGAGCTGTAGGCCTAGGGCCTGATTTGCAGCGCTATCCATCAGTTGGCAATCATCTCCAAATTATTAGCGTTAAATCGATTCATCTACCATTCATCTACTGGCGTCCTACTCTCGAATCTAGCCTCTAGTGTTTCCAGTGGAATTCTGTCAATGTCCAGTTCCTGATCGCCCAGTTCTTCCTCATTCGAGGACAAAGGTAACTGCTCTTCATGATAGGGCTCCAAACTTGTGGGCAGGTTACCCAATTCTTCTGCTATTCCTTCATCAATGAGGGAAGACTCTTCGTCACTCAACATTACAGAGGTTGTATCTGGGTTATCCGTTTCAGACATAATATTCTCCCTCAAATCAATCTGCGTTGCGGTCTAGCACTACCAGCAACACTGGGTTTGCAAGTGTTATTATGATTGTATAAATCAGAATGCGTCACTTGCCCCAGGCCTTTTTTGCAAGACCTTGGGGTTAGACTACCCCCAAAACAGGCATTTTCCTCCAACAAAATCAAATATTAATAATAGCAACCGATTCAGCGATGTTCAATCTCCTTCGGATCTTAAAGTCCGACGGAGAAATTTAAGGCAAAAGTAGTTCAGTGGCACTTCACAGAGAATCAACTTCTGATGAGTTAACAAAATTATTGGCACACTTGCAACCTTTTATAATGGGATTTTTAGACCCCCTTTTGTAATCAGTATTAACTGTAAAGAAAATTCCAGTTTTCACAAAGAATCTGGTAATCTGCTGAACACTGTTGTTGTGAACTCTCAATATTGCTAAAATTTTGTCAATAATGTTTAGTGTAGTTTAGATTTTCAATTCTTTTCAAAACTTTCTCTTTGACACAGCTTTTTGCCATTTGTAACAAGAATCAAGTAAAAGGGAAAAACTCTTAAATGTCAGGGTTCCGTAAAGAAGAATTTTCTTTCAATCGTAAAACTTTTTGTGGTGTACCAATTTGAAATATCGTCATTGAGTAAAAACATTGGAAAAGATTTACTTTTTGGACTTAGTCATTTTCCTTTTGCTTGTGTTTCGCTTAAACATGTTCAATTTATATCTACCTAATTTGTTTGATTCTATTTGATTTGGTAGTAGAAACTTTATTTTCTATTTTTGTATAATTGGATCCCTTGTAAACCAGCCCCCTAATGGGAGACTACTTTGGGTAAAAGTTATTGAATCAAACCAGAAAGTAGCAGTAATTATGGTAGCATTTGGGGCTTCTTCAACTTATGTTTCTGTTGGTGAATTTCAGCTTTTAAACCTTTGTCGAGCTATTCTTTGGTGTTTTCTTGTTGGAAAATTATCAGCCTGAGCCGTTCCTAAGATTTTTACAAACTTTTGTGACAACTAACATAGTTTACTTGAACTGTCTGCTTAAACTTAGTTTACCACTTCTATATACTTCATTCATTCCAGGTAGCTTCTACGTGATCCGTAGGTTGCTAACCATGGTCCTCCAACAAACCCTAAAAATGTTCTTTGGCAATATGGAAGTTTATACATGACAAGCTCCCCTACGAAGCCCGCTACGCGGGCTTGCCAGTGGCCCTACGGTTGAATATTAAGATTAGCCTTGGAAAGACAAGAGTGGCCCTACAGTTGAATATTGAGATCAACCCCATCTTTCTTTTAAGGCTCCCCCCTTCATAGCGATAGTCACAAAAGTGCGAATTTAATTCGCACAGGAGTGCAAGCAATTTTTTTATCACGTGACCTCTTCTCATTTTGGAATCGAGGTTTATGGCACTCTTGTCTTTCCAAGGCTAATCTTAATATTCAACCGTAGGGCCACTGGCAAGCCCGCATAGCGGGCTTCGTAGGGGAGCTAGTCTTCCGTTCATTGAAAAGTAAATTTTGCAAGCCCTTGGGTTTGCAAATAAATTTTCCTGTATACTATGATTTAAATCTTAAGATCCTACTGTAGGGCCACTGGCTTTCCATTATATCTGATTTTAATGTTTCAGTTTTCCACCAACATATTTTTCGTTTTTCTGAGGCTAACATCACTACCCCGTTAACGTGTTAAAGAGGGCCCGCACAGCAGGCTTAACTTGGGGCTATTTCAAACTGAATTGAATAAATTATTGTTGCAATGTTGAGGCAAAAGTTGCTGTAAAACATTTTCCAAGCCTTTTTCTATTCGTGGTCCGGGTTATTTTCTTGGTTTACCCCCTTGGTCTTATCTGTTTAATCTTATTCCAATGCTTAAGCCTTCTATAAATTTGTGTATTTTAGCCTCCATTAATATTTTGCAGGCTAATCTTTATCCTGAATTTTACGTTAAAGGCAGTGTGCTCGAAATATGAGAAGCGTGACAAATTAGTACAATTGATCTATAGCAAGTAAGAGACCTCCTTTTGTTACGAAATGAGAAGTCAATGAAATATAAAATTTTTTGTTTCGGTAATCGAATGAACGTCGGCGCAATGTAATGCCTTTAAAGTTTGGCAAAAATTTTACTTCTGCTTATTCTCTGTTGCCCCTTTTTTCACTGGTTTCTCCTAGAAGTTCTTTTATTTATTCATAATTCAGTTATTCATCATTTTAACCATGTTTTTGTAGCCCACATTGAGTCGTGGGGCTCTATATACTTTGCGTCCTCCTTGTTGCTATTGATCTGTTTAATGAAAATCTTTAACCGCAAAAAGCTCTAATTATCGAAGAAATTTTTTTCAACATTCTCTCATTACTATTCAGTAATACTCGATGTAATGTCCATGCGGCAAACTTTAACCTTGCAATTCTTTTGTTGAAGAGGTTTAGCAACTCGCTAAAAGTAGAATGTCTTTATGTGTAATGTCTTTAATAGGTAGAGATAAAACACAAAAAAAGATATTTTTTGCGATTGTTAGTTCCTGTTTTGAGAAAAATTGACATCCAATTCTAAAATAGAATTGTCTATGGATTCGTCCTGCAAGCTATTGTTTATTTTTGCATCTTGCAATATTGAGGCAATACCTGCCTCTATGATATGGAGCCTCTGGACCAGCATCTCGTTCGTTTGGTCCACGAACCTTTTCAACGATTCTAACCTCTCCATTAATGGAGGATCCATATAGTTCTAGATGAGAGAACAAATGAACAGAACAAATCAAGCTTCAGTAAAATAAGTCAAATCAATCTCCTGTTTATAAGAAATTAGCAATAAGATTAGCAATAAGAAATGAGTTCTTCACTGGACATTGAGGAAAACTTACATTTTATATCAATGCTATCAGCTGGTTTGCATAAAACTGAAGATGCAAAGAAAAATTTTTGAAAATCGGAAGCAACTTCAACAAAAGTCCACGATCTTTTCCAGAATGAACAAACGAAAAATTTCAAAATAATTTGCCACAGCATCATGAAACTGGTTTACAAAGTGTCAACCCTGTTTTATTATAAAAGGGTGCATTATAATTGAAAAGTTTATTTATGAGCTATTGTTTGCAAGATAATGATTGTATAAATTTACCTTAATGTTAAATGAAGATGCATTTTTAAACCTTGATGTTAAATGAAGGTGTATTTGTGCACAGTACCATCGCAATACTCTACATACCCCCCCCCCCCCACACCAAGCTCCAATTACACAGTTTCTCTCAAACGATTTAAAAATAAAGAACAAAGCAAACGATGAAGTACCTTCTTTCTTATTCGACTTTTCACTTCGCAATTTCTGGTGCTCTTGAAACCTATACACGGATTGTGTGATCCGAGGGTGTTACTTTTGGATATATATATATAAGCAAGCAATTGAAAGAGCTTCCTGTGATTCTTCGTTCAATTTATGCAAATCAATGGCCTGCACGGGAACCGTGTTGTGTTATAAAGTACCGCACAATCGGGGTATTAGAATAACCAGGGGGTGAAGATGTTCTCCATTTTTTGTGATAGTTCGTTGAATCCCACAAAACTGTATCCAGGGAAACTCACACAGTATGTCTGACAGAATTTCAATTCCCATTGGATATTCTCACCTTATACAAGTCAAACATCGTACCACAGTTACACCATAGTCTTACCCCCTTGAAGCTGAACTGTTACTGAAATAAATGTTTCATACCCATTGATTGAAGGCTTAATACCCATTGGTAGATTTATTCATACAACTTTATGATATTTGGATTATTTGTTATTGGTTCTGAAAATGTTTGGAAGTGAATTATAGTAACAGTGACTTACATTACGGCCTTCTTGGCCCTGAGTAACGATAGTGAAGAGACAGAAGACATAAAAAGAAACACGTTTTTTGGTTATAACTTTTTTTCTCAATTATTAAAAATAAAAACATTTTTGATCACCCCTCCTCTATTATTTTTTTTATCTTTAAATTTTTGTTTTTTGTTCGCATCGGTTCCGATCCGGGTTCTGGGAGCCTTGATCCGGGCTCTGTGATCAGTGCTGAAAAATTTATAGAAATAGTTAGTTCACTGCAATGATTGATGAATAAACAATTAAAGAAAACTGTCACGAAAAGTATTTCTCTATTTCCATTAACGTGAAAACAGCACAGGATAATGACAGGGACTATGGAAGCGCTGGGACCCAGGGGCTTGTTAAGCCCCAAAGTGTACAGTGCACTTGATATAAAGCGTGTTGAGCCCCCAAAGTTTTCTGTGTCCATCCAAAATCAGTAATATACTTTGTCAAGACGTGAAAAGGGTTTTATTGACAAGGCAAAATCAGTCTAATATCATGTAGTATTAGTCACCTTGCCCGTGTTTTGTTTTTATTCTCCCTGGCTTTCTCCCGCCGTTTGCCCGTGACTTGGACGTGCAGTGTGGTCCTATCTGCCCTAAAAAGAAGAATAATTTATTCATATAAACTATAACTAATTATTTTGAGAAATGCTTATAGTTGGAGAAAATTATCAAATGCAAAACAGAATATAACTGAGTAGAGAACGTAACATAAGTTACGCTGATGCGTTGAATTTTGCGGTTTTGATCATCAGTGAAAATGAACTCCGTATTCTTGTCAATCTGAAATCGGCGGGCTACCCTTGACTTAAATGAAGGAGCCCCTTCTTCTTTTTTCAAAATTATCCTCTGAAAAATTAGAGCCAAAATGAGTTTGGCATGTTATACAGTTGACTACATTTATTCGTTAACCACATTCTAGACTACATCATATGTGCATAAAATAAACTAATTTATGAGCAGCGAAATCTTTAAGTTGTCAAGAAGAGCAAGAAGCAAATAAAATGTGATTTACAAAATATTTGTAAACAAGAATTTATTTATACATTTTATTTATACATTTATCTGTAAACATACCTTGGTGTGACCCCGATGTGTAACTTTCACAAATTTCATTATTTAGTTTTTGTCTTTTTTCAAAGCAGCGTACTTCTGTTGCAGGTGCCAACTAATAGTTATGTGTAGATAAACCCCCATTTTATAGGCAATTATATCTATTGAAAACACTACTCGCATTTCTTCTACTAAATAGAAAAGATAAATCCATTTTAGAATAGAAAAAACATACTAAACCACCTGACAGATAAGGGGGACTTCAACACAAATATTTAAAGACATTTTTTCTAAATGCTAGGAAAAATAATTTGTTTGGAAATAATGGCTGGCATTGTGACTACGACGAAAGGAGGTGACCCCCTGTAGAGGACGCTTACATAGGAATGTTATTGTGTGAAAAACAACTGTCTTGTTATCACCCTTTGCAAAGACTTTGTAAGGTAGACTCATTAAGTAATTGCCGTTTTTGGTAGGTGTAGCTATTAATTAAAAAGAGTATGCAAAGTAATTCCCATTTGAAAATGCGAAGTAATTCACCTTTGAAACAGATAAACGTGGTTACACAATATATAAGAATACATTTTCAATAGAATACCGTAGTGCTTTTGATTACCATTAGTAGCAGGCATAGCTACTAACTAAACAGAGCATGCAAAGTAGTTCCAATCTAAAACAGCCAAACGAGATTACACAACATCTTAGAATAAATGTTCAATAGTATACGACATTGCTATTTATTGCCATTTGTAGAAGGCGTAGCTACTAATTAAATAGAGCATGCAAAGTAATTCCAATCTAAAACAGGCAAATGAGATTACACAACATCTTAGAATAAATGTTCAATAGTATATGATATTAGTATAGTAGATAGTGCTATTTATTGAATTTCGTAGAAGGCGTAGCTACTAATTAGATATAGTAGGGGAAGTAATGCCCTATTCAAAACAAATCGTGCAGCTCTAAACGTATTGCTAGTCATTTTGTGGGCTTATTGTTGTTATTATTATTTACAGTAAACTAAGTCGAAATGAATTTCACATTTGCCCTCGTACAATAAATCCCTGTCCCTGTTCAAATATTTGCCAGAGTTACCCTTGATGTTAGTATTAGCAAGAAACGTATCATCATCGAAAATGTAATCATTTTCGTTGGGAAGGCCCTGCATCTCTGTGCCCCTTTAGTGGTGACGTGATAAAAAAACTCCACTTCTTTGGGTATTAAGTTGCCAGTCTTGTGACTGTTCTACCAGATGTGAAAGTAGCACAGTAAAGAATCTGCGAGGTAAAAAGATGATACCTGAAAAAGAATAAAAAAGATGCTTACCAGGGCAAGATCTAAATCTGAGTTGTTGAAATATTGCCGGATGCATTAGTTTAAAGCTCAAACACCACGTCAAGGAGCATCCTTTGTTTGAGTTTTCCTTCTTTGGGTGAAAACTGCAGGGTTTTATAACAGTTACAATAATGAACATGAACATTAATTGAAATTACCATTTTCAAAGTTGACTGGCTATTAAAATACAGTTTTCGTTATTTGAAACAAAGGAAACGTTTCTTACTGCAGTCATCACTGAGAAGGAAATACATGTTCCCCTAGGCAACATTGAGGAACATGGCAAAGCATAACTCTTGTACATATTTCAAGGATAATATATCAAAATTTAGTATCGATATAGAGATTGACAGTTATAAATATAAATGTAATAGAAAATGCTAACAACTAAGATATATAAAAAGATCGGAGTAGAATATTAACATCAATTATTTGCAATGAAGTTCTTAATTATTTACAGATAGAGCTAAATATAGGTAGAGTAGTTTATTCATTCAGTGATTTGTTAACGGTAGTTCAATTTCCATTTAAGTTGGCCAATGATAAATGTGGTTCAAGAAGAGATGTATTAGTTGAACATTTTATAGATCACTTGCTGTTTTTCTGAACAAAGATATATAACTAATAGGCTGATATGGTGCACCTTGATAAACAAAGCATTTCAAGCTAAAATTTGAGCTCATTTTGGGCACCATAGTGCTGCATGAGAACTGACAGTATCAACATGCAAGGTCCATGAGCTCACTGAACACCATAAGGTGCAAGATACAGTGTATCCCCTTATAACAATGTGTGTGAGCTGTTGAGGCACAGAAATGCAAACAAGACACAAACAGTAGTATATGTGTACATGTAGGACCTTTGAGCTCACCAGGTGCACCAATGTACAAGAGGAATCCAGTAAAACCGTCTTGTTATCATCATCAAAAAATCAAAGAGAGCCTGGCACTTTTATTGATCAATAGATTGATATGGTGCACCATGACAAATGAAGCATTTTAAGCTAAAAACTTGAGCTCATTTTGGGCACCAAAGTGCTGCATGAGAACTGACATTATCAACATGCAAGGTCCATGAGCTCACTGAACACCATGAGGTGCAAGTGTATCTTCCAATAACAAAATGTGAGCTGTTGTGGCACCGAAATGCAAACAAGACACAAAAAGTAGGACTGAATGTGTACATGTAGGACCTTTGAGCTCACCAGGTGCACCACTGGATAAATGGTGTGCAGCCTCAAAGAATCTAGGTATTTAAAAATGCTCCAGTTGTTATCTGGATATGACATTCTATTAAGAATCAGGTTGGATGTTGTATTCTCATATTCATTAATTTTGAATGTCACCATAATTTTATGACAAATAGCTAGTTTCCATCTATACATAAAATATAAACAGTAATCTGATGACATCTGTTTAGGCCAGAACTTCACGGTAAACAATGTTACTGGTTAAGCGACCATTTGTTGTGAAAACTTTAAGCCCTGCAAATGACTGTGCTCTTGACATAGCGACATATAATTGGCCATGACTAAACACAGGTTCAGGAAGGAAAACACCAACATACCTAAGTGACTGTCCCTGTGCTTCATTTATTGTCAGACAGTATGCCAATCTGACTGGAAACTGCACTCTTGCAATGTTAATTGGAAGAGAAGAATCTTGTGATGACAAAGAAATTCTAGGGATCATAACATACTGACCTCTGTATCCAGGGGAGATGATTTCTTCACAAATGAGATGTTGTTGTAAATCACGCACTATGAGGCGGGTGCCATTGCAGAGTCCTTTTTTTGGATTTAGATTTCTCAATAAGATGACAGTGGCACCAATCTAAGGAAATGATATGCTCACTTTTGACTGTGTTCATTTTATACGATTTTATATGCACATGTAACAAGATTATAAAGTTGTGAATTAAGATTAAGGAGTTAATATGAAAATGTTTTAAAGAATTAGGATCGTCGGTAGCAACTCGGTCTGTACTCAGATAAATTCGTGTTGGTGTTGGCAGCCTTTGAAGGACCAGCTCATTAATTTGATGTGAGAGGTCGTTCTTCCGTGTCAAACAGCAACGCTCAGACATTGTTCCTGGGTCCGCCATAAGGTTAGGTTGGTCTGGCTGTAGTGGTGGGTACACAAAATCTATCAAGTCATTAAGTGAAGGGGCAATAATTTGCTGTGGTAGAGCTACTTGCTCAAGGGCATCATGTGGCTCTTGCCCATTGCCAAGCCGCAAAAGCCAATCAGCAAACTCCCTGTATGTTTCATCTTGAACTGCACGCATGTTGATTATCAGTTGAAACTGATGGAAGTGGTGCCATAATAAGGACGTCTTCAAGCTCTCCTGCACAATTCTCTCTCGACCTGCTCTGAGAACAACTGGGAGAACTTGTCTGAAATCACCACCAAGAAACATAAATTTCCCACCAAATGGCCTGTTTACTTGTGTAATATCTCTAAGGAGAATGTCTACTACTTTCAAAGAGTTAGCTGGTATCATTGATGCTTCATCCCAAATAAAAACACTAGTTTCTAAAAGCTTCTGAGCCCTTGCACTTTGACGTTTAATGTTGCATGTGGAATCAGGTAATAAGGGAATAGGAATTTGAAATGTAGAATGTGCTGTGGCTCCATTGATGAGCAAAGTGCTAGCTATTCCTGAGTAAGCTACACATTTAACTTGCAAGCCTAATCCTTGAAGATTGTGAACTAAAGTATTGTAAAGAAATGTCTTACCTGTTCCAGCTGGTCCATCTACAAAGTAGCAGTTTTGTTCAGCTCCTGTTTGTATAGCTTCCATAATTGTGTTGTGAATATGAAGCTGGTCATTGTTGAGGAGTTGTAACATTTGCTCTCCTTGTTCTCTCTCAGTGTCAATATCAATATAGCCAGCTCTGTTGCCTGGTTGGACGAAGTTGTCTGGAAGCTGTGGGACGTCTGAAAATTCAACATCTTTGATTGATTTACCATGAACCCTCAGGTTATTATCAATATCCCACAGACAAAGATACATGTGCCTGTCTTGGAATACAATGGCTGGATCATTAAGTTGATCATGTCTCACATAGTCTTCAGACATGAGTTCCTTGAATTCATTAAAGAGGTCCCTGATGTCACATGGAGTTTGAAATACCATCAGTGTAGCAAACAGCTGTCTCATCTGTGAAGGCATATTCATGATTGTGGCCTCTTCTAAGCAACGTCTGTGTTCAGCATCATCTTCTAGCAGACCCATTGCTCTTGCTGCATCCTTGAATGTGTCATACAGCTGTCCATCAATGGTTCTTATGTCTTCAAAGGATGTGACCCCTCTGCGGTGAAGCAAAAGTAGTCGAAGGGCATACCTTTGTGGATCTGTAGGTTGAACTTGATAAAGCCTGCCAATAATGGACCTTGCAGCACGTTGTCTTTTTTTCCATTTCTTTGTCCTCAGATGAAAAGTGTAATGCTCTGGAACTTCAGTATAAAGATACTGTTGAGCATCTTCGTCATCTTGATTATTTTGAAACCATGCAGTTAATGTTGTGTTTGGGTTCACATTAAGAACCCTTTCCTCGTTTCCTTCTTGGAAATAAACATTATGTTGTAGAGGAAGATGCACTGCAAGCCGTATGATGATGTGACTTTTGTCATGCATTTTGTACTGCATGACCCTGAACACTGTCTGGTGTGGTCCAACATATCTTGCATTAAGATACTGGAGAATCTCATCATGGTGCAAAATGTTCTCTCTAATTTCAACATGTGCACAATCATTACCTTTGTGAATGTATTTAAAGATGTACTTGACACTTTTGACTGTGCTGCAAACTTCTACATTCATGTGGCAATTAAATTTCATGAGAAGGTGAGGATTGTAAGGAACCACCCAGGAGTCATTTACCTCGTCGTCGGTACTCAGGGTACCCACGAACCTCAAACATTGTTTCCTGTGCTAATGCTTTTGGAAAGTTCTTCTTGCATTCCCCATTTTGCATGCAAACACAGTGTGGATCCAGTTCACCACAAGGTCCATGGATCATGTGTTTCTTAACCACTTCATGGAAATCTGGGAATTGTTCTGGATCTGGAATCTCTGCAGATACTAACCTATCAACATCTTCTGCTGCATGTGGTTTATCAGCATCTGAGAGAAAGAGAACCATGTGTACATGTGGCAAGCCTCTTTTCTGAAACTCAATTGTATAAACATATGCAACCACGTTTCCCAAAACATTCCTTCGAAGAAGATCACATAAAAGTTCCTTGAGTTTCAGGTGAAAGACACGACTGATAACATCTGGCCTGTCATTGCCTGTTTGGTGTGAAAGGAGATTTTCTCTCACCTCAGGCCAGTTTGGATTTGCAGTCATGGTTAGGAAGATGTCAGGTTTACCATATTTTGTTACAATAGCCATTGCATCTTGGTAGTTTTGATACATATTTCGCTGACCTCCTTGGAAACTTGAAGGAAGAATGACGATTCGGCCAACATTTGCATTTTCAGCTTGAGCTCACCTGTGTACATGATCCATGAGACCTTGATATGATTCTACCCTCATTTGTCTTTGATGGGTTCTGATGTAGTTCAGTTCATTTCCTTCAATTTTTGTGTATGCATCAACCAGATATCGCTGAAAAAGCAATCCTGTAAGCATAGAATTCTCGAACAGCAATCCTGTAAGCATAGAATTCATTGAGAGTGATTCGTACCCTTGGATTACGACCAGGAGCTGCTGGTTGCTGCTGATTACGTCGAAGATCAACATTCCACCCTAATTCTCCATGAAAGAACAAAAGAGGATATGTCAGGGGATCTGCATTTGGAGATGTTGCTTTGATTTTTGTTGTATTGTAGTTGGCAGCATTGTATACTACTATATCCCTGTTAGCTGGGTCAGGGGCTGCTCCATCATCTCCAACATAAACTGCAGCTATTTCTGTTGCTGTAGGATTATGATAACGTCGATCTTGAAACGGTCGCTGTGCTATGATCATCCTCACTGGGGGTAATGGTTGATTGTTTGCAGTTGCATTGTTTCGTTCTCTTTCAAGAACTCGTCCCATATTTTGCCTTGCAAAGGATTAACAAGCCATGAGCTCATCCTGAGCAGCTGCAAGATTCCTCAGGTTTGCTTTAGTTTGTATTTTTTGAATCAATTTATTTTCGTTTCTGCAATGCTTGATTTGTTATCGTTGTATATATTGTGTTATACTAGTGGACGTTCACAATCTATGTCTGCATAACGATGACACTTTGATCAAGTGAGGTTT